ACACACACACACTCACACACACGCACTGCCCACTGACACGCGAACCCTCAACCCGACACACAAGCCCGTCCAGACGCCCCCCCCCCACCCACCCACCGTGATGACGATCCCGGCTTTCTTCTCCAGCTTGGCCGCCCTGTGCGCCTCCCGTTCCATCTGGCCCCGCACAGCGTCAAACTCGGCCCGCAGCGCCTCGGCGCGCTCGGGGGCGCCCACCGTCGCGCCCCGCACGTACCGCTTCTGCGAAAGGGAAAAGAAGCAGCGCAGGGGGAAGGGGGCGCAGGGCAGGAGCGGCCGAGTGCATGAGCAGGAGGTTGGGGGAGACGTAGGACATTCATGTCGTCGTTTTGGGGGGGGGGGGTGAGCGGCCCAAGGCCAGGCCTCGCACCGCCCGCAGCCCACACTCCGAAGCCAGCCCTACCCCTCAACTGCACCATAAAACCACCCGACGACACCACCCCCCCACCCCGACCCCATCACCTGGGACGGCACCCAGACCGCATCCTTGGACGCCGCCGCCCAGGCCTCAAAATACTCTTCATGCGTGACGTCAGAGTGACCCATGGCCTACAACGGGTTGGAGGAGAGCATGAGGGGGGGGGGTGAGGGGGGGTGGGGTGAGAGGGTGATATGGTGGGAGGGAGCGGAGGGTTGAAGGAGCGTGTGTGGAGGGGCCCGAGTGCGGGGGAGCAGGTGCGGGGCAGGAGGTGGGGCGCGCATGTGGCGTCAAGTCGGGCGGGGCCATGCGGGGTAGCGTGGGCGAAGGCGTGCGCAGTTGCCCCAGGGCGTCGGCGGTGCAGCCGCGAAATGCAGACGACCCCGAGACCAGGCGTGTGCGTGTGTGTTGAGAGGGGGGGGGGGCGCGAGAGCGACAAACAAACTGAGCACGCATCCTACCTACACCCCCCACCCTCTTGGCGACTTGCGCTTGGCGATCTGCCAGCTTCCGCCAGCCAAACCACTGCCGCCCCCCCCCCCACCTGCCGCACAAACGCCACCTCCGCCGCAACCAGCTCCGCCGCCGCCCCCAGCTCCGCCAGTTCATAATCCACCAGCGGCGGGCCCTCCGCCGACGAGGCCGCCGTCGCCCCGCGGTCGCGCTTGCGGTCCCGCTTGCCGCCGCCGCGCTCCTCCTTAGCCGCGGGGTGGCGGCGGTTGTCGTGCTCCGCCAGAGCCTGGTGGTTGGGGGCAGGGGGGCGCAAGGGGCGGTTGAGAGGGGTGCGCCGTGAGTGGCGGTTGTCCGTGAGAGAGCGGGCGCGAGGGAGAGGGTGGAGCGCAGGGGAGAGGGGACTGGGCCGCGACGGTCGGGCCTGCGAGGCGCGCGTCTCCGGGCGGCTCGGCGCGCGGCAGGCCTTTCCCTCTGGACAGGTCTCACGGCGGTCTCCCTCCCTTGGACGCGGGCCCCACCCAGGCCTGACATCGGCACCCCGCCTCGCAGCCGTGCACCGCCCCGCTCGCAGCGCTCAAAAAAACAGCGCGCTCGCGCCCGGCGCGGCCCGCCTGCGGCACCCGAATCCCCCCGCCCGCTTGAAAGCATGCATGGCACAACCGCCCGAGGAAAAAAACCGCCCACCAGCAGCTCGGACGCCAGCGCGTGCTCCGCCTTCTCCCTATAGCTCATGGCCGCCGCCCCCGCCCCCGCCGCCGGCAGCCCGGACAGCGCCGCCGGGCGCGGCAGGCCGCGGCGCAGCACGGCCGACTTCTTGAGCTCCTCCGCCGCGCGGCGCGCCTCGGCCTCGCGGGCGCGGCGGGCCTTGGTGTCAGCCGCGTCCTCCTCCAACTCCATCTCTTCATCCTCCTGGTATGTGCGTTGTTAAAATTGGGATGGGTTGCGAAAGCTGAGTCGAACAACAGTGATTGAATTGTACGTATTGTCGCGGGAGTGGAGGGCGGCGTGCGGCCGGAGGCCAAGCGTTTCGAGCCCTGCGCAACGACCCTAGGCGCGCCCCAAGCGACCCAAGAATGCCAGGGGTCCAAAAATCGGCACCCCATACGCCCGACATCCAAAACACCACCACCACGCGTCATCCGCCACGCCAAGCCCACCTCAAATTCCCGCCCCTCCCGTTCGAAAAAGCCCACGCCGCGGGGGCCCACCTGCTCCGGCACCTCGGGCACCGCCACCGCGTACTCGTTCTGCGGCGCCGGCAGCCCCGCCAGCCCCGCTCGCAGCTCCGCCCTCACGCCCCGAGCGTGCGCCCGCGCGCCGCGGCCCTCCCCGAGCGCCGCCGCGTCGGCGTCGTTGAGCCCCAATTGATCCCGAATCAGCGGCGTCGCCCCTACGCCCCCGCCGCCGCCGCCGCCGCGCGCCGGCGTCGCGCCGGCGATGCCGAGCGGCGTCGCCGCGACCCCGGCAATGCTCCCGACGCCGCCGCCGCGCGCGGGCGTGGGGCCGCCGATCCGCGCGGCGGCACCCGGCGTAGCGCCGACGAGCGGCGTCGCGAGGCCGGCCAGGGGGTTGGGCGTCGCCGCCACCGTCGGCTTGGGCAGGGCACCGGAAAAGTCCGTGGGGTGCAGCTCGGGGTTCTCCCCGCCCACCAGGGGCGTGGGCATGGCGGAGAGGCGGGCGAGGTTTTGGGCCTGCAGCAGGAGGGTGTCTGTGCCGCCGACCTGGTTGCGCGGGGTGCGCATG